CTTTTTAAAACCTTTATTTTATTGCAAATTTTACAAATCTTTAAAATAATTTTTTAAAAATGCAGCTTTTATGTCAGAGACCATTGAAATTTTCTTTTAATTTTAATATTTTTAAAACTCAGACCCATTGTTCCAGTGAAAGTAACTCCTCATTCTTCTGCATACCGAGATATTTTGGAGATTTGGGGATTTTTCCCTTCCTGTTCCAAGACATGGTTGACCAAGTTTGGTGTGGTAGAACTTGATTGGCCTGCAGAGAGTAATGACCTCAACCCAAGAATACCCCTGACTTCCTCATGGAGATAGTTCCTCTAATGCTTTCTTTAAATCCACATAGATACAGTGCAACTCCTTCATACCTTCTATATAGTGCTCTGTCAACACCCTAAGAATCTAGTCTGAATTTGGAACATGAGTAAGAATAAAAGAATGAGCTAGAAATACCAGAAAATCTGCCATCACTCATTTTTATACTTTATTATATATTCGCAACCACAATAATTGCAATGAACTCTTATTAATCACTTAAAAAACAGAAGATAATCAAGAAATTTGGTCAAATAATGAACAGCATAATCAACTGTGAACTGAACATGTTTTTATATTATCAGCTATGCAGCTGAAATTTCTACGATATTTGACTTTCCCATACAGGAAGGCTGGTTTGTCTCTTGTAGAAGAAGTTCTATAAAAGTATGCAATGAACAGTGAATAAAAACTGTATTAAGTGCTCAGAGTCCTTTGTAAACAAATTTTCAGAATTGGATAGAAAAACCAACCTGAGACTTCACTAACTTGGTAACTTGTTTAGAACTTGTGTGATAGAAATGCCACACCACCAACAAGCTGAGAGAAAAAGAAAAAAAGAAACCCCTATAAAAGTCTAGCTAATCTTCAGCCAGTCTGTTCCCTCCCACATTCATTGAATTTGGCGAGCTCGATGATCCATCACCATTTTCTTCATGTCCCTGTCCGCCATCATGTCACTCGCATCAAGCTCGTTTCCTGGGCCAGCCATCGGATCATACCGGTGTCTGGAAGAGAGAGAGGAGATTCACAACCCTAGAACATGTTCTGCCTGATCATTTAGTGAAAAGCCAAAAGCAAGTTAAAATTGCTAATAAAGCAGACTGTGAGGCAACTTTTGGAACTTTATGAGGACTTTTAACTCCTGAACTCACTGTTTGAGGTGTTCCTCAATGGCTTTCCGTTCATACACGGTGCCATATACTGTTTTCACAGGATCAACAAACATCTTCTTGGTTAGAGGACAAATCAGATGTTGTGGTATAAACTCTGGCACAGGATCAACCAGTTTCTTTAGAAAGGAAAATAAGTCAAAGTAATGTGATCACAAAAAAAATCTTTTACATAAAACAGAAAAATCCCATAAATATTTTGTTCACTCACTCACCTCCTCCATGCTATCCATTGACTTTCCAGCATGTTCTCCCGTGTGCTTTCTGGCTTCTCGTTCGTACGTCTC